TATATGAATCACAAGAAGTTAATTCGGTACACTTCAGATGTACTCGATATTTGCACAGAAAGCTTTTTTATTTAGATATCGTAGCAGAAGTCTAATTCGAGAAAGAAACACTCGATGAAGAAAAGTTGCCTTTTCTTTTTATGGTATATTTAGAGTAGGCAATTGCCGATACCGTTCGACACTTTAAAATCTTAAAAATTTTGGAAATCACTTGTCTAAAAATGCCTGTTTTTCGTTAGCTGTTAACTAGCAATAGCCAATTACCTACGCTGTTTTCAACGTCCTGGGTATTCATCTACTTGCACATTTTCTTTTAGAGATAAAAAGATATACTCAAAAAAATTAAATTTCTCTCAGTTTCCGTCATGAGAATACAAAATTCGAGTAGATTCCAAATTCTTTCTTGTTCAGATAATTTTCGCACATGTTTCTGGAAGATCCTTCAGAACGTCAATAATGAGAATTCATTTTTCGCTTATCATCTCAATTATAATGAGAAAAACGACGATAGAAAAGTATAGACTCGATAGTTCAGTGGACAGAGCAGAAAGAAAGAGAATTCTTACGGCGTGGGTTCAATTCCTGCTCGAGTCGCTATATGTTTTTCCTTCTTTTTGTTTCTTTCGCTTGAAAACTTTCCAAAAAATTTTTTGCTTCCCGACTGGCAGTACCCCGAGCCATTTTTGGTGGATACATATGCAATCGACTGTCCTCTATCCGAAAATGTAGTTTTCATCGACTGTAGTTTTATTCAAAAATTTTATCTATTGGTGATATAAAGAAAGGTCCGAGTAAATCATAGTGGAATCAATCGTATATAAGAAAACAGTGACTGGATTAGCAATTTAAATTAGTAGTATACGACGAAAAACAACCGTATATGACGTTTTACGACATCGTATACGACGTCGAATTTTGACGTACCCCATCGTAAACGGTTGCATCCATTCCAGACAAAATACGACGTCGTATTCCTTCTCCACGGTTGACGTCAACGTATTTTGTCGTAAAAACCGTCCTATTTTGACGTATACTACAATATCCATCATCGTAAACTGCGGTATCATTCATCGTAAACTGTAGTATACGGCCGTTTATGACTGTCGTAATCATCGTCCTGGGTAGAGCAGAGCATGACAACCTTTTCTTTTCTCTACATCAACATTTATTCTTCTGTTTCTTCTTCCTTTCAGGACTCACAATGCTACGCAAGTCGACGCTTATCCCGCTGCTACTGAGAAGATCACTCGCCCCGTCACTGCCGAGGTTGTCGTCGCAAAGTCGAGAACTGCGAAGCGATGGAAAGAACACATACAAAGAGCAAAGTCTTCAGGATCAAGAAACGGATGCTCTGACTGCAACAGTTCCATTGGAAGAAGCAAATGCGTCTTCCAGCTGGCAAACAAATTACAACGGACAGCAGCCTTCGAGAATTCCGTTTAATCGTGATGATCCGCCTGACGTAAGTGCATACTAGATGTAAACCTCCCTCTAAGGGTTTTTTTAACGACGTCGTCTTGTTTTCAGGTGTGGCTCGACGTTCCCAATCTATCGGTGGACGAGATCAAGTTGAATGTGCAGAATCTGAACGCTCATCTCAGTTTAACGGCTAAAGTTGCCGGTTTGGTATCGATAGACGCCGGTGTTGATGTGAATATTGACAAGGTTGAGTTGACTATTACTGGTAAGCAGACTTTTTCAATCTGATTTTGAACTACTGTAGTTTAATCACGCATTTAAAATTTGCTATTTGTAGGAGTCAAGGCAGAACTTCAGTTGGCAGTGCGACTCGGCAATCTGGTTAAGATCGTGGAACGAACTCTCGATGCACTGGACAAGAATCCACAACTGTTGACTGGCGTGTTGAACGCAGCGACAAGCACGTTGAATCAAGTGCCAAGGTAAGTTATGCGAAACGTATGTCCTATAACTGTCGCTTCTCTGTCACCGTCTGGCTCACAGAGAAAGGCAGAGAACACAATTTAAACTGTGACACATGTCTTTTGTGAATATTTCAGCCTTGTCAGTGGTGTAACCAGTGCAGTACCAGGCGCTTTGAATGCAGTCACAAGCACTTTGAATGGCGTGGCCAGTGCAGTGCCAGGCGCTTTGAATGCAGCAACCAGTACCGTGCCAGGCGCTTTGAATGCAGCGACGAGCACTGTCAACGCGGGTGCAGGCGCTGTCACCGATGGAGTTCAACATCTTCCGGGTAGCAGCAGCAGCGGTTCGAAACGTCCAAACAATTGGCTCGGCTCATGCACGGCAACCGACGGCTCAACGATGCATCATATCATTGACGGAAGTAAGTAGTTTCCGCTTAGAGATGCGCTAGAAAGTACTTTGTAAAAAACACTCTGTTTTTCTACGCAATCCTTCAGATTTTTACGAATACTTTGACAAAACT